GAAACTATATTTTTCTTTGACGTACATTACCAAGCTTAGACTATGCTTTGTATCTGTAATGCAATGCACTATGCATTCTTTTAAAAAATAAATTTTGCATACTACATTTTTTTGATAATAAAATCTAAACTATATTTGCAGACTGCAAAATACAACTAAAAGAATTTAAATATATGAAATGGACACAAAGTACTAAATATGCTAATTATTTTGCTATTTGGAGAAAATCTCAATTATTCATATATATATATATATATATATATATCGCTGATAAACAGATAAGAGCCTGTGGCCTAATGGCTAAGATCTTTGCCTAGTGTGCCTAGTATGCCATATAGCCCAGGTTCAAATCCCAGTAAGGGTATGGCTAGCTGATGAGAGCTAAATAGCTTGAAATAGAAGACCAGCAGTTCCTAACCTTTCCAGCTTGGTAGCCCGGATCAGGGCAGGGGTGGGTGGCTGAATGCAGACGAGCAGAGGGCGCTTGTGCTTGCGCGCAAAGCTCCACTCGCACAAGAGGAGAGCACTTGCGCTCATGCACGAAGCTTCAGTTACATGAGTGGCAGGCACTTGCGCTCGCACACAGAGCTCCACTCATGCAAGTGAAGAGTGCTTGTTTACCGCTCACGCAATTGGAGCTTCATGTATGTATGCTTGCCCATCTGTCCTGCAGCCCTGTTTCAAACAGGCTGTAGCCCAGTAATGGGCCATGGTCTGGGGTTGGAGACCCGATTTAGATGAAGTGCTTCAGATCTTATACAAGCACAGCAGCTCTTCATTTAAACAACTCTTCTTTCAGGATTCTGGATGTATCTGAAAAAAGAGTTAGTTTATGAGTTAGTTTGACATTAGTAAATCTTGTCTTTAATGCAGATGCTCCTTTTGAAGGCTCCTGTGGAAGCTTGGGGGATGAAGGGGGTGACTTTTATTAATAGCAGAATAATGTACTGCTTGTGCCTGCATGCAGTTTGAAGCCCAACTTTTAAAATAATTTTCAAATTGTTCATATCTCTAAAACACAGAAAATAGAAGTGGGCAATTCTGTCATAATTTCTCTGGGTACCATTGGATAGAATTGGTTGGGTTTGATCTTCAAATCTATCTAGGGTATATAATAAGTATATGATAAGAAGAGTATAATAATATTTATAATCCTTCCAAAGTCTTGGTCATCTTCATGACTAGCTACCTAAAAGAAGATAAGCAATAACATGCTACAATTATTTTAACTATTGAATTAATCCATTTGAAGGATTTAAATATCATGTTAATTAAGGTTCACATATGCAACTATAAGCACCAAGTCTTTTTTTCTGATCTGGTCAAGCATCTGACACAAACACAATTTATTTGCTATAGCTTTCTCACAAATAGTTTTTTTTTATGTAGGCAAATATTAATTCAAATATGCAAGCATTCACAGGAGTCATTAAAAGCTAGCAGCCAGTGATAAGAAAACAAGGGAGCAACAATAATGCATTTTCTTTCAAAAGAGTTATGAAAAATATAATTTATTACTGTTCAGAAACAAAATACTAAGACTGCAATTAGATACACATTTACCAGAGAGTAAACTTTATTTAAAGATCTTAAAATAGAGTTACATATCCCTCATCAAACCTGCATGATTTCCATTTACATTTTTCGAAAGAAAACATTTAGTTTTAATCAGCAAAGGAAGACATTATAGTCTATTAGCTGACTCTACCATTAACTCCAAGATAACATAGCTAGTAATCAATTACATGAGATGTTCCTCCATTTCATTCATTCCAATATAGTGTTGTATTCCAAATTTTCCAAATCAATAATGCTAGAGGAAAACATCTATAAAACAGCTATCACAATAAAGTTAATGATACATATATGACATATTTAAGCACCGACAATACAGTGTTTGTTTATGAATATCCTGCCAGATGGGTAGCAATATGCATTGGTAAAATCTCCAGGGATAAAATTGAGTATGAAGCAGTCAAACATTGTGCAATTCTACCAAAATATTTTTATACATTCATAATTTACCACACACCACTAGTATAACAATAATAGTTTTCTAACAAAATAAAATAAAACAATCCATTTATCATTGTGCATCACAAACTATATTCTTCTTGGTAAAGCTACCTTAATCCCAAATACAAATTTTAGGTTATGTATCCATATAAATAAAGTTTCCAGACTTGTTATTACATTTGATTCTATCAGTTTATTATAAAATTATGTAAACCTATTACCTAACATACATTGGCAGATATTAATATAAACAGCAATTGTGTTGTTGTACATTTCATAGTCAGATACTAATTATTTCACCAAACGCAATATTTTATGAAGATTACATAGCCTGTCAGGGACATATGTGAAATCACTGCCTATTTA